ACTCGTGTGTGAAACTATAATTTTTTTTTTCGAATCTTTTCATAGGTGGGGAATATTCATTTTAGATCTTTGGTACTCTGTACTTCGTCCTTTGCGCCTCGAACATCAAAAGAGAAGCGGTCACTGTTTTATCTGCTTGTCTCTTACGTAAAATATGATTGTTGTTGTTAACGTACGTGTGATTTTAGCATCGTACGATCACCGAGGGGGGATATTGAAACGTGTGAGTACGTTTTGCATATTCATTTCTATCGTATACCTTTTAATACATGTGCACGTTGATTTATAATTTCATGTAAGTGTATGGATAATTGGTGAGTGAGTTATTCTTGATAAATAAAAACATCAAACCTATCACAGATCATCGATCAATTTTAATTGTTTGTTACAAAATATAACTGTAGTGTTATTAAATAAAATATGAAATGTAAAAATAATTGCAACAAATACTATACAAATATTATAATACTATAGTATTTCATTTGAAAATTTTATCAAAATTTTATTAAATTGTGAGTAAATATAAATAAAAAATACCATGCACGATTGAACGACAGTAGAAATTTAATTAATTTAAAATCTTCAGGAAAAATGCTCAACAGAAATTTTATTCATATATTTTATTTTTACACGTCGATCAACAATAACTTCTCGATAAAATTAATAGACATCGTTTACGTTCATTTCAGGAGTCGTTCAAAAATTTTATATAGTCGAGTTATAGTCGTCACTAGACGATGCTACTGACATTTAAAAATGTTTCGTAATTTGAAATTTCACGTTCGTATATGTTCATAAAAATAAACAAATATTTTACACATAGTGTATATATGTACTATCTATATGCATGTGATGCAACACTGGTCCCTCGATTTTGAATTCGAAATTCTTTCATAAATCCTGTCGAATTATGATGCAGAATATATAATTAGGAAGCAAGGGGAATAAGAGTTAGAAATTGAAACAATTGACTTGATAATTTTCGAATGAAAGTCACTTTGAAATAAAGCAAGTTAAAACTTAAAACTTAAAATTTAATATATATTATATATACAATATATACATAATAATTTCAATATTAATTGCAATTTAAATATAAAAATATTTATTTTAAGTTATATTATAAATTTGAATTTTAAATCAATATTAATTTTTTTTTTAATTTTATTTATATGATTAATATATATAAAATTATATAATATATACATAATGTACATATATATTACAAGGTGTTACATCATATAATATTATAAATGTATTAAACGTATATATGTATATATAGTTATATACATGTCATGATTATATTGGTTAGAATAATAAAAATAAGAATAAATATATCATATAATGAACGTAACTAGAGAGACTACATGTGTCAAATTTCACAAGTATAATCAGAACAGTCCGGGGACGATAGAAAGAGGATATAATAGCAACAAAACAAATGATAAAAGAATGAGAACAATAAAAACATATAAATATAATAATAAAAAATAATGCAACAAATATAATCAGAGAGAATACACGTACATATACATACATGCATAAATGATAAATATAATCACAATAGTCGAGCCTCATCATCAGTATTGATAGAATGCCAAGTGTTTTACGTATGTAATGCAACATATAACACTTGTAATATATTCATAGAAAGTTCCCATAAAAATACTCGAGTAACCCGGGGCGTATTGTGGCAGATAATAAAAACGTATGTATATCGATAACTTCGAAGATAACATATATATTTACGATCGTAAAGCAAACTGGGAGAATGTTCGAAACGACCAAACGTATATTTTCTATGGTTATATAAATTATAGCTTTTTTACGTGTATTTTTTATATTAATAAAAATCAAGTGTATTTATCCGATAAAGTGTCCGACACCGATGCTGAGGTGTCGGTCCCTACGGACCGACACCCGGTCAACGGAATGACGATGTGTCGGCCCGCACGGACCGACACCGGCCAAACAGCGCTGGGGGTGTCGGTCCGTAGGGACTGACGCAGTTTCGAGTGTGTATAAAATTGAGACAACCAGCGTCTCTGTGCACGCTGTGTGTAATTTTTGCCGATTACTTAAAAACGTCGTTCGACGAGTTTCGTTACGTAGAAACGGAAATCCAATCGAAGGGGAGAATGTTGTACGCGGCGTTAGGCGACGCTCGTGAACTATTGAACCCGGCTTTTTCCGCTTTCGTAACGTGTAACTCTCGCATAAATCCGCAGGAATGACCTTTCGGGCCTTGAATATTGAAACGATCCGATAATAATACGTGCGTCGAACGTGCATATATTTCGCGTGCAAGATCATCCGGGACGATAATTGGATATTTCGATTTTTAATATCACGGTCATTCCCGACCCACTTCGCGTTTCTCTCTCTCTCTCTGAAACGAGGACATTTAAAATGTCCGAGATCTCTCAAGTTTTGAGCAAAATATGAAAAAATTCTTGCACGATGACATGAATTCTCGCGGAATATGAATATGAATGGCGATGATACACGTGAATTCTTAACTGGTTTTCGTGCATTTATGAGAAGTCCAAGAGTGCAAGAACGTAGAGAACACACACAATATGTCTAAAATATTGACAATTTGTTGTAAAAC